AATCCCTAAGCCCGAAAACCCGAAACCCTCAACCCTAAACCTGAACCCTCGGAGTAAACCCCTAAACCCTCCACACCCTAAGAGACCCGAGACCGGAGGAGATATTGGGGCTGCCAACTGCAATGCCTGAGCACTGGTCTGACGCCAATGAGATGTCCTCTCAAGGTTCGGGGGGCGGTATAGCTTAGGAGTTGGGCTTAGGGTTTAGGGTTTAGGGTTTAGGGGTTAGGCTTTCGGGTTACAGATGAGTTTAGGCCACCTATCTTCATCCACACTTGGAGCCCTATTAAGTGTTCCTTCACGGGGGCGTTGAAGGGTTCCTTTACAGAATGGGAGGGTCCCTCTGAGGGTCCCTTTCAGGGTTCCTTTGAGGATTTACAGGTTCCTTTGCAGATTCGTCTAATGTAGGGGCCTTAATAATTAGAATAGGGTTTTGGGGGTTCCTTATTATAACTGTAGTATAATGGGCCCCAACACCCTATTCTAATTATTAAGGCCCCTACATTAGGGCTGTAAACTTGGCTAGTAAACTGGAGTGCGTAAGCTGTATCTTTTCAGGGCTTTGGTAAGGGTTGCTTATGGGTTTGAGAAGGTGTCTATGTGATTGTTTTTGAGACCAGGGTTCTTGGCCTGTTTGGTGTGGGTCCAGAGTTTGTAGGGTTTCGATTGTTCGAGTTTTCGGGTGTCCTGGGGTCTTGGTTCAAGGTTTAGGGATAAGTGCTGTGAGCCCTAAACCTATAAGATCACATGCGCCACATTGCGGACGCAGCACAACGGGCACGCTAAACCAAGAACCGCAAGCCCTACATCCCAAAGCCTCAGCGCAGAGCCCGAGAAGTACCTCGAACCGCCAAATATGAACAGACGTAGGGAAGCGAAGGGTCTTGATTTCAAAACTCTTGTAAAGGAGAAGGGCCTTATTAACGGTTGTGCAAGATATAAGGGTTTCGTTAGGATATACAAAGGGGGGAAATACGGTTCTGCTTGGCTTCAGAGTTTGGGGTTTCGGGAGTTCGGGTCATGTGGACTCGCTGTTGATAGACACCTCTTGTTTGAGGGCAGCAGAGCCCGGCCCGGTGGGTACTTCCCTTTCTCAGTGCCATACATAATATTTGGATCTCTCCTGTGAACCTTTTTATGGGAGTGAGAGTTAGGAATCCATTAAGAAACGGGATTGTATGCGTTCTCTTGAGAGAGTTAGTCAGCGGACGGGGGAGGGTGGGCAGGGTCAGGACTTTCTGTCTTGAGAGCAGTTCTACCCCCTAAATCCTAAACCCTAAACCCTAAACCCTAGACCCAAAAACCCTAAACCCTCAAACCCTAAACCCTAAACCCAAAACCCTAAACCCTAAACCCTCAAACCCAAAACCCTAAACCCTACCCTCCAACCCCAAACCCAAAGCCCAAAACCCTAAACCCAAAACCCTAAACCCTAAACCCTCAAACCCTAAAACCAAAGCCCAAAATCCCCAAGCAGAGGCTGGTCGGTGATCCCTGTGGACAATGAGATCCTGCAGTGTATCAAGGGCCTTTTTGTCGTCACGAAGCCTGGGGAGCTCGGCAGAGGTATCTGGCTTCTTGTTGATTAGAGACTTTTTTTGAGCCGTAGCTAGGTCCAGCTAGGTCTACGACTGGGCCTGTTTTTTCTCCCATTTTGTAGTCTTAAGCCTTAGGTTCCTTATAAAGCTAACTTACGCCAAAAAGGGAGGCCTTCTTATTCCAAGGCTACCCGGGATCCAGGGTAGCGTGCAGGGTTAGAGATGGGGGTTCAGGTTTTCGGGATTTAAAGGCAAAGTTTCTTCACAAGAGCCCACGTTAGCTTAAGTGATCCCAAAACCCTAAACCCCAAAACCCTCTTCACCCCTTTAACCCTAAACCCTAAGCACTAAACCCTACACGCCCCCACGCCCCAAATTTAGGGCCTAAAGCCCCTCCTAAGACGAGCGCAGGTAGGGATGTTACTCACGAGTACTCGCGAGCCTACAAGAACCTCGAGGCCGGCAAAGCCCACAAAAACCCAAACTCCTTCTGTTAGGGTTGATTTTGTTCACTTAAGTTAAGTGCTTCTGTTTCTCTTCGTTCAATTCATTACAACTTAAGAGAACAAAATAAGCACAAAATTATCTCCTTTTCCCCTTTTGTTTTGCTTGTATTTGAACTCTGATTCCTGTCGAGGTTGCGGATCAAGGGTTTAGGGGTTAGAGCTTAGGGCTTTTAGTGTTTAAGGGGTTCTAGCTTTTGCTGGGTAGAGGGTTTAGGGTTTAAGGTTTCGAGTTTAAGGGTTGCAGTTGAGGGCATATGGTTGTGGGTTTACAGGGTAAAGCCTTGCGTACAGGGTTTTGTGCATAGACCACAGCCCAGACCTTTAAAAGGGTCCAAAAGATGGATACCTTGCATGAGGCCTTCGTTACCATTATCATGGTTCTAGGGGGTTCTACTGTTTTGGATCCTTGACAGGGTTTGGGAGGGGGTCCCCTTAGTTTAGGGCGGGTACGTCGGAGTGGCGAAAGGTCTGACATGGTAAGAGTTGATGCTCTTCTCGAGCTGGTTGCTGTTGTAGACAAATCTCACCATCGGAATAAGATGAGACCCCAAATCACGTGCCAAACAGGACTGTTGCGGGAGCAGGGTTTCGGTCCAGACTCAGCAAGAGCTGCCAAACCAAAATCAACGAGACTGAATGTTGTAATCGCAGTTTGGTGCGACTGGAATCTAGCCACCACCTTAAACTGCTCTGCACACCTATAAAGTATCGCTGCCGCAATGTTGTATTTCGGCGGAAAGCTTAATTACTTCGTTTAGGCTTAGGTGCTGGAACATCCATGCCGCTGTCATCGAAAGGTGGTGTGTGCCTGGCGCCTGGAACATCCGACGCACTGGCTGAAGTATGCAGCAGAACGGACTCTTGGTGGCCCTAAACCCTAATCCCTAAACCCTATTCAAAGGCGAATTTGGTACTTTTCTGCTTTGGGGCCGTGGCTTCTGGTCTCCGCAAGCGCTGCTTAGCTCAGGCTTCGTTCTAGAATCTTTGACGCCTCAGGGCCCTTGTTCTAGGGAGCTCCATTTCTCAAACAGCTATCTACACCGGAGCTCTCTCTGTTACAGCTACCACCCGGTTTCGTGCACGGTTTTTGGTGAGGCTCCGGGGTGACGTTCTCCAAATCCAAAAACCTGAGACGCCAGAACTCTGCAGACCTCAGTTTTTTCTGGCCGTGGATGCTTTGTACAGTAGTTCCGGCTCTATCTGAGCTCAGGGCGCAGTCATACCTGGTTTGGGTAAAGGTGAGGGAAGGTTGAGCCTGCAGAGGTATAGCCTACGCTGCAATTGGGGCGGCGAGTCTAGGCCGTAGTTGGGACGGCCCAATACCCATGGACTCCAGTTTCGCTTCCGTCAGGAGCCTTCACAGACTGCGGACCCCAGGGCTATTGTTGTAGGACCATACTCTTAACGCTATAAACCCAAAGCCTGAAAACCCTAAACAACAAACCCATACCCCCTGAGCCGCAAAATCTACAATGAATCCCCCCAAGGAATGCGGTGAATTCAAACATGGCGCAGCTGCGACGGCAGAAGATCGAGCTGACTAGCTGGAAGTGCCTTTCCTGAACCCAAAAGTAGGCAGAATAATAGCCTTTTATAGGTGTTGGGCCGCTATTTTGCCTACTCTTCAGGCTTTGGGTAAGCTGCAACCATAATCTGGGAGCGTTCAGCAACAGCCTTACTTGGAAACGTCAGAACCTCGAAATTCGATCCTTAGCATGATGCCTCACCCCCGACTTGTGGATAAGTTCAGACAGCCTCACGTTTCAATCCCCTAAACCCTACACCCCTGAATCCCTAAACCCTAATAACGTTAAACTCTAAACCCTAAACCCTAACCTTAAACCCTAAACCCTGACCCTTGCACCTTACACCTAACAAACCCTAAATAAACCCTAAAAATGGGATCCCGAGCTCGGATGCCCTGACTTGTGGATGACCCTCTCACTCCGAAGCCAAGATCCTCTGAACGGGATACACATGCCTCATGTCTGCTTAGGGGCTTAGGAGGTAACCTCAAACCTTTTGGGGCCTTATATAATCCTACCATAATTGAAAGGTTAACCTTTTTTGGGTAAGCTTTAGCCTTTTTGGGCTTATATAATCCTAACATTATTGAAAGGCTAGCCTTTTTTGGGCTTTGGGTACTCAGCCCCTAAGTCTTAGCGGGATCCACATGCCTCACGTCTATAACTGTGCCTTAGTGGAGTCGAAGCAGTCACGCCTGACGCTGTCTCTAGGGGTTAGGGTTTACGGGTTTAGGGTTTAGGGTTTAGGGGTTTAGGGTTTAGGGGTTTAAAAGTTTAGGGGTTTAGGGTTTAGGGGTGTGGGGTTTAGGGTTTAGGGGGTTTAGGGTTTAGGCATTAGGTCAGTAGGGTTTAGGGGCTGAGACAGCCTAGGAGCAAGCTGGAGGATGCCTCTGGCAGCATGCCTGGCAGCCTGCTGCTGGACCTTGGACCGTGTGAAAAAGCCGTAAATCCCAAACTCCAAGCCCCGCATCCTAAACGCCACCCTGAATCCTAAACCCAAAGTGCTTAAGCCCTCAAACCTACCCGCTTGAGGGTTAGTTCAGCAGGGTTATGCTTCCGCCAAGGCTTTGAGGCATTTCTAATGGGCTGATTCTTCGGTCACATTGATCGGAGTTGGATGCCAATCTCTCGACCCAAGGCCCCACCCTAGGCCGCAACCGTGAGCCTGTCAACCCAACACAATAGATTCGTAGCAACCAGGGTACATGCTGGCAGGCAAACTGAACTCCGGAAACGAGTTGCTAAGTTTTTATACGCCTTCCTGGACACAAACCCTAAACCCTAAACCCTAAAACCCTAAACCCCAAACCCTAAAACCTAAACCCTAAACCAATCCCCCAAGCGTCCCCAACCCAGGGCCTGGATTCCTTCCTTTGCGCTAGAGCTGTCTCCAAGGTTTTCGCAAGTCGGCGAGCGCTACCTGCTACATGGGACGAGCCCGCAGAGCGTGCTCGACATTCTCCACCAAGGCGCTTGAAGTCTGGATTGATTGTTAGGGGCTTTGTGGCAACGGGTTTGGGTCCAAATGCCGCAAGCCCGAATACCCTAGGCCATTGACACCACGCCATGCCTTGTAACCGTAAGCTCTGTCGGGCCCAGTGTGCTTTGTTCAGTCCGAGTTTTGGATCTGGTTCAGCCCCTGAGACCTTCGGAACAGCACATCCAAGTTTAATGTCGCAGGTCCGAAACCGTAAACCATTTCGGAAGGTTCAAAAGGAATCACAAGTGATGTGTCGGTAGTGGAGGGAAGGTGGCGAAGCCCTAAACCCTAAAATAGAGAAGCTTGACTGAGCATGGTCCTGCAGCCACCACGACCTTACTCGACTGTTTCCTCAGTTCTCCATGATCGTCGGTGTTGTTTTGGGTCGCAGATTCTTGCAGTTGCAGAAAGGTTCAGGTTAATGTAAAGCATAGGGTCGTTGGCAATTCTTAAAGCCACTCTGCGTCGGAGTGCCCTATCAAGATCACAAGGACAACGCAACAGCAGCTTCTACCTTCGACAAAACTCCCCAGCAGAAATACCCTAAGCCATAAACCCCTATCCACTATGAAGGATTCAGTGACAAGCTCGCCAGCCTCAGTGGCATTTTTGGCGCCGGAAGCTATTTCGCCGAAGATCCGGAGAAAATAGACCAGTGCCTTCACCAGCAATAGGATGCCATAGGGTTCATACTACTCTTCATCGCTCTCGCTTCTTTGTCTCTTGGTGTCTGTGTCTCTCTCCCTCTCTCTCTCTCTTTCTTTCCCTTTCGGTTTCTGTCTGTCGCTCTATCGCCCCCTCTCAACCCACAGTCATCTTAGCCATGCGTGCGCATTCACATGTAATGCACGTGTATATGAGCACAGGTACAGCGCCAGCAACGTGTCCCCACACACAGATGTAGATAGATTGATGTGTACATTGCTCGACATAGACAGCTTGATGCCCTAATCACTAATCTATATAGTTCGACAGTCAGCAGACAGACACATGAATGGATAGCCTGGTGCAACTTGTTCATATGCTGACCTACGGACAGTAAACGCAGCGGAAACTGGAAGTGTGGGAGCTGTATGATGTTGCAGAGTCGAGAGACAGTTCTTCGGGGCTCAGACAATGCTGGCAATGCTGGCTGTCACAGTTTCGGGGAGTCACCAAGAAAGGGATAGTTCTGTAAATTGGGGTTCCTTTTTAAGCCCCCAAAATAGTACGGCACCCTTATAGCAAGGACCCTGAAGGAGACCCTAATTTAGAGAACTAACAAAGTGCGCAGTGGAGTTGGGTGGCTTGTTGTTTGATTGGTTTAGGCTTCAGTCTCAAATCGTTTTTGGACGTCCCTAGTTGCATCCCTTTTTGCTTTGCAATAAGGGTCCATGCAAGCTACTATTATGGAATTAGGTCCCCCAAAACCATAATTGGAATGGTCTTTTGGGACCCCGTTCCTAAATAAATAAATAAATAAACAAACAAATCAATAGATAAATAAATAAGCATATATAAATATATATAATATGTATATATATATATATATACAAAAATGACCCTGTGGATTACAACTTAATTATAGATTGCCAGCAGGGGAATCGAATGAGGAAACGCCCTGGAACGACAGTGAGAGGAGAACCATGTTCGCGACAGAAGCAAGACGAAGCTGCAAGGTACACACAGCCGGATGGGGGCTACAAGACCACTGGCTTGGAGGAGCTGCATGCGCAGCTCTTCGCCGATGGGGGGAATGTGCATCCAGGACACGGGGAACATGATGGTGATGTAAGTGTGACAATGTTGTTGTTGGTGACGATGTTGCTGAGGATGATAAGAAACACCATGCCGTGGCTGAGTCTTGTGACGACTTTGGTGGTGATGACAACTTGGACGGCGATGGAGGCGATGCTGTTATGCTGAGTGAACCTCTAAATCCCTAAACTTTGGAGGCCGCGAGAATGACGATGAGGATTTGAGAAGGAGGGTCGATGATGTTGGTGCCGCACTCGGTCCCGGCGTAATCTCCGCCAGAAACACCAATCATGCATAATAAACCAAGGAATGCAAACCCTAAACCCAAACCCTGAAGCCCCCAACCCTAAACCCTAAATTCACAAGTTTCTGTTCCAAACTAGGGTGGCCCTATATTGCTAAAGAGCTTCGCACGAAGGGGTCCTTGAAAATCCTAAACCCTTAAGCTATTCCCCTGCCACAAATTAGACTAAGCCGTAAGCCCCTATACCTGACGCCCTGAATCCTAAACCCTAATTAACCCCAAATCCGTGGAGCTTTCACCCGTAAACCCCAAAGCCCTAAGTCTGACATTGACGAGAGCGCATCTTTTCCCCCTAAAACACAAAACCCTGAACCCTAAACCTTAAACTGAAAATCCCTGAAGCTGAAACCCTCGACCTCAAAGCCCTAAACCAACTTGAGGAGAGGACGTCTTCTACTGCTTCCCGGACCCTAAACCCTAAACCCTAAAACCCCAGAGCCCTAAACCCTCCGCCCTAGAACCCTAAACCCTAAACCCTAAACCCTACATAAAACCCTAGAGCCCTAAACCCTACACCCTAAAACCCTATACCCTAAACCCTACACCCTAGAATCCTAAACTTGAGGAGAGGACATCTTCTACTGCTTCGTGGTACGAGCGATCTGTGGGGCGGCCCTGGTCACTGAAGGCTCCGTGTCTTTGCAATCCCTGGAGCTCCGAGGGTTCAGGTTTAGGGTTTCGGGTTTAGGGCTTTGGGTTTAGGGTTTAGGGTTTTAGGGACTGGGGTTTAGGGTTTAGGGTTTCGGGTTTAGCTCCCAATTCTGAACATTGCGCGCCTCAGGTTTGGATCACGACAGGCTGAAGGATGTCAACACCAACAAGCAGGTTTTCCTGCGGTCTGATCGTCGGCAGCTCTGCCACATCCCTGGTGCGACTCCGTCCATTTCTTACCACACCCTCGTTGTGGACGTTGCGAAAAGGAAGGTCCCAACGTCTGTCCTCCGGTTTCGGGAAATTGTCCTTTTTGAGGACACCCGCGTTTACCCGGAATATCTCATTGCGTACCGCAGGGTCTGAGTGACACTCAGAGTGCTTGAATCGGCTTGTTGCAGGTGGCGTCAGGAGCCGCAAGCCCACTCCCTAAAATGCTGGCTGATGCCCAGCCCTAAACCCTAAACCCTAAACGCGACAACCTCGGTTTTGGTTTAGGGGGTCAAGCCCATTGAGTTCGTTGAGATAGCTCCTAAACCCTAAGCCCGAAACCCCCAAGGTAGGCAAAACAATGGCCCATCACCTCTAAAAGGCTACCACTTTTAGGGTACAGGTAAGCCCCAAACTGAACAATTCTTTTTGATCGATGCTTCTGCGCTGTTGAAACTGCCACTGCGTCCGTCGCTGCACCGTGTACAGCTGTGTTTCTGGGCTTTCCAAGGCCCTTTTGGCCCGGGTTCGTCAAATTTGATGGACACGGCCTTGTCATGTTTCACCGGAACAGCTAGCTTCTGAAAGCTCCAATCATTTTCTTCGTGGGTTCTGCCTCGCCTAATCAGGATAACGTTGAACTAGTTATGGTGGTGTGATGATGCATGATCGTGTAATCGTGTGCTGGTGATGGTGGCGATGACGGCAATGTCAAAAGGGGTCCGAATAGATGGGAGCCACACAGGTAATACTATCAGACGAAGACAGAAGCAAGCACTTCTTTCATACTTGTGTTCACATGCACGGGGGTGGTTCCAGCATCTAGCAATGGCAATGAGCCATAAAGCCCAGACCCGCAAGTTGTCTCGACGAGGGCTTTCCGGACCATGTTTATCAACCAGGGTCGGCTCTCCCGCACGGAAGGTTCAGGTTGATCGATCCTGAAAGCATGCATCCCCAACAGAGGAAGTCGGGGAGTTCGGGTTTGGAGGCTACGGGTTTTTCACGCAGAACCCTAAACTTTCCCTAAACCCTACACCTTAAACCAGGATGAGGCGAGATCCCGTGATGAAGTGAGCCGAGCTGTCCTCAGCCTCTCATTGCCTCACCCTCGATGCGAGAGTGGCCCCCGAGTTTAGAAAAAATACTCGTGTGGGACCAAGCAAGATCCTCATTTGTAGTTGTACACTTACTTGTAGCTACTTGAAATCACAAGCACAGTTTTTGTTTCAGAAACCTGTTCACAGATCTCTGAACAGGCAACTCACAACTAAATCGCAAAAATATTAATTAATCCATGGCTTCCAGTCCGTTCTGTACCTGGTAATCAAAGTTATGATTGTAGTGCACGCTATACGAATGGTTTTGGCTACTGTATCCAAAGGTTTCAAGTTTCGGGCTGCGTCCAAGAATGCCCTATATAAAACACGTAGAGAGCCTCCTCTTATGAATTAGCTACAGCAGCCCTGATACCC